TCTTGGAGTTATAAAAAAGGTTATTAATATTTTAATTTTAAATTTGTAGATATATATGCCTCCATCTTTTTATTAATATTTAATTTTATTCGATTCAACTAGATTAGTAATATCTTAACCCATTGAATTATGTTCGTGTGACCATTATATTATCACTAATAAATGAAAAATATATGGTTGTTAATTGATGAGAATGATTTATAGTTGTGGTTATGCAATACTAAAAACTAATATATTTAAGATTTCATGATCCATTTGGAGCAATGCTATTTTGCTCTAAAATATATTGTATAAGTATAAATTTTGGATCAATTATAAATGTGGTCTTGTCGTTATGGATTAAATTTGTGGAAAATAGTAAATTTACATGTATTTGGAGAAAAAAAGTGACCATTTTTAAATAATAACATATATCTTTCATTGGAACAGTGGATTGGATATTTGGTTTGGGTGATACAAAAATTGGATAATAACACAACTAGACTTTTTTGGCACCTAATTAAATAAATGTCTACAAATTTTAATATTTATAGATTTATCAAAATGGAGGCCAGTTTATGACAGTCCATATGAAAATTATCAATATACCCATATTCTTAACTTTAAATCCTAAATCTTAGACTCTAAACCATTAGACACAATTTCTCTTTTTAATAAAAAAAATAAAATCCAAAACTCCTTTAACGTGGATCCTAGACCCTAAATCTTAAACTTTAAATCTTAAAAAAATAATATATGTCGGAAAATTAAGAATTATCAAAAAATTATGCAAGAATAAGTGAGTTGATTAGTGGCTATACTTGTCTAATTATTTATTAAAATGTGATCATTAATTATTAATGTAATTATTTGAATTAAATGACCATAAATTCTCACAAAGACTAAGTTTTAAAATATTGACATTTATTGAGGGCAATTTGTGGAAAAAAACTTATTTAAATCTTGAAAATCTAGATTTATAAATATTTTAAAAGACATTTGTCCAATGACCATTAAAACTTGTTGGAGAAACTCTATAAATAGAGATTTGAAGACGTACGAAGCTCGTTAGACTTTGATCCAAGTTCAAAAACAAATCTCTCGAAAGAAATAATTAGAGGATAGAGACCGAGATTTCATCCACTGCACAGAACATACAAAATCAAAATTCAAATCTACGCTGTGTCAACGACCATATTTCACTCCCGATCATTTTTGTTTTTTCATTAGTAGTAATAAGATAAACTAAATCTTCAAGTATTTTTTTTTTATTCTTTTGAAAAATTGACCATAATAGTACTAAGAAAGGGGTAACGGGATGACAATAGTGCGGAACAGGATTGAGATATCTTCTTCGTCCTTTCCTCGCCCTAAATTGCGGCAGGGATGTGAATACATCCAATATGATTAAAAAAAAAGAATTTTACCTAAATGTTAAATAATATATAAAATCAATATTTTAAAGTTGAAATTTAGAGAAGAATAATTGATTAGATTATTTATTATTTTGAAGCACTAATTTTGTAAAAGATATTAAATTTTACTAAATTAATTACTCATATATAAAAGTAAAAAAAAATATTAGGAGGTAAACGACGTCGTCTAGGGACCTGCCGTGTGATCTTGCTGATCCGGTGATTCCGATTCAGGGGTTTTAGCTAATTCCTGAGCAGCTCAACCTCCCGCTCTGTTCATTACGCTTCGTTTCTTATGAATCTTCACTTCACTCATGGACTTTCTTTATCCCATCTCCTCTTCTCGCTTTCCGCTAAATAGTTATGGCGTTTCAGTATTTTCTTCCAGATCTTCCATTCAATTTCGGAATAGGAGAAGCCAATTCAGAAATCAAGCCCCCAGCTCCAAAATTTATGGATACCCATCATCATCATCATCTCCGTATTTTAATCTTCCAAGATGCAGAAGGAACTTGATCGTTTTTGCTAACTTTTCTCGTCCGACCAGGCGCAGCAACTCGCTGAGGAAGAAACTCACCCAGGAGCAACAGGTACACCGAATTCCCATTCCCGACAATTCGAATTCTGATTTTCAATTCCCCGAACGAATTACTGATCATGGTGAGGTTTCTGGTCATGCTGGTGGTGATGTTAGTGATTCGATTGTTGAAACGAAAGCAAAACGTTTAGGTGAATCTGTTTTGTGGAATAGATTGGAGAACTGGGTTGATCAATATAAGAAAGATATCGAGTTTTGGGGGATTGGTTCTGGTCCTATATTTACGGTATTTCAGGACTCGAATGGGAATGTCAAATGGGTTTCCATTAACGAGGACGAGATTTTGTCGAGAAGCCAAGTTGAGCGAGTGGATTCGGACGACCCTAGTGGATTGAATAATAAAATCTCGGCTGCGAAAATGATTGCAAGAGAGATGGAGAGTGGGAAAAATGTGCTTCCAAGGAATAGTTCAGTCGCTAAGTTCGTAATTCAAGGTGATGGCGAATCTAGTTTCCTAAAGGCTGCTCAGGGTTTAAGTTTAAATTTTAGGCCCCAGGTTTTTACCAAGTTTTCTAGAGCTGGGGGCATAGTTCTATGTAGTTTTCTCTTACTTTTTTCTTTGAAGAAGATGTTCGCTTTCAAAAAGGAGGACGTTGAATATACCGAATTGGAGAAAGAAATGATGAGGAGAAAGATCAAATTTAGAAAGGAGAAAGAGGTAATGGAGAATGGTAGAGTTGAAATCATTCAAGTACGTGAAGAGCCACCCAATGTGTCATTTGAAACGCCCAGGTTAGATAAGCAAGAACTTATGCGTACTATAGCAAAAGAAAAATCAAAAGCATCAGCTACCAAACTACTTTTAGGAGAGTCTACTGGCACTATGAATGCAAATGTTGCGGATTTGAGTAACAAAATTCAGGAAATAAGAGAGATGGCCCGTGATGCACGGGAAATTGAGGCGAGAGAAGACGCCTTGTCTTTCTCTGATGTAAACAACCTCTCATCGGTGAATGGGAAATTGCCCAATCACATTAGTGAACATACAGATGAAGGTGCCTGTTCTTCATCTGATGTTTTAAGACCAGAAAAGCATGTCTTCCAAAATGTTGAGAGTGGGCTGCTTAACAGTGTAGCTCCCGTAGAGACCAGTGATTTGCATGTATCTAGCACTTTAAGCGTGGGAGTGCCACATAATGGCAATGGCACCGCACTAAATGTTAAAGATTGTAAGATTTCTTTTGGAATTATGGATGCAACGCAATCTGATACTAACCGTGACACCCAAGAATTGAAGGCAGATTCAGAACAAAAGAAACCAAAGATCATACGAACAGTGAAGGAAGCTAGGGAGTATCTTTCTGAAAAACGTCGAAAACAAAAGCCCGATGAGAAAATCCCGTGCAGAACTGGATTGGCAGCTGCTCCAGGACTTCCAAATGATAATGGATTAGAAAATGTGACAAACAAGGAAGCATACTCAAAAGACGTACTTCTCAAATCTTCCTTTCCATTTAGGCCACCAGATTCTTCATCCTTTATTAGTGACAATTTTCATTCTGCACGTAGTGATAAAAGTTCCATCTCAGTCAAGGATGGCCACTCTAAAAGTTCTGTGGAAGAACACTTGGTAGGTGGCAGTCAAAAGCTCCACAAGTCCTTGAATCATGAAGGCAATGGTAGTGTTACAGAAACCCTGCCCCATGGAGAAACCAAGAGCTGGATAGAAGAAAATTTTGATGAAGTCGAGGCTGTCGTTAAGAAGATTGGAGTTGGCTTTAGGGATAATTTTATGGTTGCTAGAGAGAAAGGTGACCAGAATTTTGATGCAGATTCTACATTAGCACAACTTCAGTATGAAAATGACAATGACGAGGAGCTCGAGTGGATGAAGGATGATAACCTGAAAGAAATTGTTTTTAAGGTTAGAGAAAATGAATTAGCTAACCGGGATCCATTTTATTCGATGAATCCTGAGGACAAGCTTACATTCTTCAATGGTCTTGAGAAGAAAGTTGAGAGAGAGAATGAAAAGCTGTTGAAGTTGCATGAGTGGCTCCACTCCAACATTGAAAATCTTGACTACGGAGCAGGTATCTCTCTTTATCTTTAATAGTTTATTTTGTCCTGATAAGCCTTAGACCATATAATGATGAATCCCCCCCTCCTTTTTTCTTTTCTCTAGATGGCATCAGTCTGTACGATCCTCCTGAAAAAATCATTCCACGTTGGAAGGGTCATCCTTTTGAAAAGAGTCCCGATTTCTTCGATGACTTCCTGGAGCAAAGAAAGGCAATTTTTAATGGGAAAGTTGGCATGCCACATAAAGAGGAACAGAACAGCCCTTTGAAATCAACAGAATCTAATCCCAACGATAGCATAGAAGAGATCGATGATGCAAAGATGACAAATCATGATCAAGAACTGAAAGATTCTATGACAATTATAGAAGGTAGTGATGGATCCATTAGACGTGGTAAAAAATCAGGGAAGGAATTTTGGCAACACACGAAGAAATGGTCCCACGGATTCCTGGAATCTTATAATGCAGAGACAGATCCAGAAGTCAAATCTGTTATGAAGGATATTGGTAAAGATTTAGATCGGTGGATTACTGAGAAAGATGTGCAAGAAGCTGCTGATTTAATGGACAAGTTGCCTGAGAGGAATAAAAAATTCATGGAAAAGAAATTGAACAAGCTCAAAAGAGAGATGGAAATGTTTGGACCCCAAGCTGTAGTAACCAAGTACAGTGAGTATGCAGAAGAAAAAGAAGAAGATTATTTGTGGTGGTTAGATCTTCGCCATGTACTTGTGAGTATGATTGTTCTAGGATTCTGATATTCTGAGCACAAAAATTATGATTTACAAATGCTTTTGGAACATTGTCTCACTTAAATTTTCACTTGCCCACTGTGAAAAATATGGTGATTTGAACATTTCATTTAACTTTACAGTGCATTGAACTGTACACGGTGCAAGATGGGGAGCAGGGAATAGGATTCTATTCCTTGGAAATGGCGGCAGATCTTGAACTTGAGCCAAAGCCATGCCATGTTATTGCTTTTGAGGATGCTGGTGATTGCAAGAACTTTTGCTATATCCTTCAATCTCATATGGAAATGTTGGGGACTGGCAATGCTTTTATTGTTGCACGTCCGCCTAAGGTATGGAATTACTTACATTCTAGTTTCTAGCATTCTGATACTCCTGTAAATTTTATGTGTTGGAAGTTGTGCATTTCACTGGAACATTTGACTAACTGGTAAGTGTCTATATGCACCCCACTGAATCAGGACACATTTGGCATTGACTGTGCTTCTTTCCCTTTATTCATCTGATGGATAAACGTAATAATCTAATAAGCTTCTTTTGATTCAACCAACATCCTTTTTTGGAACTTACTGAACCTGGGATTTCTCCAATCAATGTGAATTTATACAAATTGGAGGTCGTGGTAATTAAATCATTGCTGAATTCAAGTTACTGTATGCACAAACAATCCTTTTGTTTGATTAATCTCTTTTTGAGATCACCAACTATGGCTTCTTCTCGTAATTTGTATGTGGTTTTTCTTTCCTTTTGTTTTCATGTAGTCCCTATGTTTCATCTAGTTTTTGTTTCTGTGTCCAGATATGTTATCAATTTTACTGGCATAAACCTGTCTCTCTCTCTTGTTAAAAAATTCACTAGGATGCGTTCCGGGAAGCCAAAGCAAATGGGTTTGGTGTTACAGTTATTAGAAAAGGGGAGCTTCAGCTCAACGTGGACCAAACACTGGAAGAAGTGGAGGAACAAATCACTGAAATCGGCAGTAAAATATACCATGATAAGATCATGAAGGAGCGTTCTGTGGATATTAGCTCTTTGATGAAGGGTGTATTTGGTTTGAGCAAAACACCCACAAGGAGGTACCTTCTGAACCTTGATATATATGATATTTCAAATGGTTTATTTGACTTGGCTTTCTACTTGGGAAATTAACTCTTCTTGATTGTTCATTTTCTCTCCAGAGAACGGTCAAAACGAAAACGAAAGTTGAAGAAACTTAAGAAAAAATGACCGGAAGTCATGAATTGAATATAAGTTGCACATTCCTGCTGATTGACTCAAATGTACAACGACGGAGAGTTGGATTGGTGATTCCGAGCCGCATTTGGAATAGAAAACTCTCCTGAGCCTCGATCATCTAGTGAAAGTTGTTATGTTTCAGCTTGTTTCACGCCTGACTTAGCATGGATAACTGATGCCATTGTTTCAATCTAATATCCAAGCTCACAATTCAAAGGGGGCCATGGAGGTCTCACTCGCAGTTGCAAACCAACCTTCTTTGGTGAACCTAAGCCACTGCAAGCAATAACCTCGCGTTCTATTTTCTCAGAGCTGATATCTGAGCTATTCTTTATCTACTGCAGAACTGATTATTTTTTTAGTATTTGTGAATATGCAGCTGTAACTTATTATATATTACAATCTGTAGATTATCTGATAGTTCCTTGACTAAGATTTTTTATTTACAAATACACAATATGCTACCAGATGTGAAGCTGAGAGCCATTTTGTGCCCCCTCCAGAAGCTAGCTGAAGTGGTAAGTCCCATCCATGGAACTTCTAATGGAGCAAGTATCTTCTTCACCAAAAAACTGACTGACGAATTAGATGCGCTCAGGAAGGAAATTCAAATTGCAGGACCGTTCGAGCAGAGGTACGTAAACTGGCCGGTTTGTACTATTATTCCAAACTGCTTCAGCCATCACATGTCACACCAAAAGATTTTGAGGATCTTTGTAGATCAAGCCTTAAGATCAGAGCTGCTCACTCCAGTGTTCACAAAGCTAGGAAATGCTAGTGTCATGTCCCTGTAAGGAAATAAAGCTTATATTTATGATCTTTGCCATTGATAATAATGATGTCATTAGAAACATATAGAACCTCCTATACAAATAACACAAGTATCACAAGAGAAGATAAATATTGCAGGCATGGTCCAAAATTCCCTCTTGAAGAAGGGGGCAAAGGAGTAAATAACTAGAGGAAATACATGAAACGTACATCAAATATGGAAGAGTCATATGCTTTAGTAGAGAAGGATTCTGTGCTACATATTCTTTCCACTCTTCCAAATCAATCTTTCCATCACCCTTTGCATCTGCTTCAGTAAAAGTCTGCAAACAGAGCAGCAAGTACAGGCAAACTGAAGTTTTGGGAACATAAAGTAGCAAAACAGATCGTAGGCTCATTGTTACCTTGTCGACGATCATTTCGACTACATCGTCGGGCAAAACTAGATCGGATTCAGACAGAAGAGCTAACACCATCTCTCTCAGCTGTCATGGAAAAGGAAAAAAGAACAAACTTCCTATATCATATTTACTTGTATTATCCATTAATTCTTTGGTTTCAGTCAGACATCTGTAAAAGGGTTTACCACCTCTTCACGCTCAATGAAGCCAGTGTGCCTCAGATCATACAGCTTAAATGCATCTGAGAATTCATATTCAATCAATTTCAACTCTTAAGAAACCATACAACAAGGAATAATCTATCATCATATCCATCTTACGTGCAATCTTGACTGCCTTTGGAGTGTTCGGGTGAAAGATGCTCAGTGTCCTAACAAATTCTCCGAACCCAATACGTCCGTTTTTGTTAGCATCAAACAGATCAAAAACCTGTAAAACAAACGTGACTTAAAGCGTAAAAAATAGAAAGAACAGTGCTCAAAGGTTAAAGAACTAGGACAAACATCACATACCCTGTCCAAAAAGAGGTTCCTCTTATTGACGTTCTTGAAAAGTGCAAGCTGAAGTTCTTCCTTGTAATTAGATGAAAATAAGTAAGTATGAAACCAAATCATGATCACAGTGAAGATGGAGGACTATGAAGAGATACCTTGTGTATTAGCCCATCTTTGATCACAGAATCGCTCAGCTTCTGAAAGAGCTTATGCAAAGAATCAATCTCATTCTCTGAAACTGCCAAGCATGAAACTGAGTTCCTTATTCCATTGTTTTACCTCAACAGAGTCTCACAACAATCAAATTAGTAGAAGAAGAAACAGACAGATGAAATTTTCCGAAAAGCATTCAATATTTTTTACATTCCCCTAGAATCACAGGGAGATTGTAGCATTCGGAAGAGAGGAGATGAAGATTAAAGACTCACAAGGCGTATCAGAAGCAAGAGCAGAGCGATGATTAAAGGAAGGAGTTGGTTCCGATGGAACTTGTCTTGAGATTTTGCAACCCATTGCGTTAAATTATGGAATCAATGGAAGGGAAGATTTTAACCTCATTTCCATTTCATATGCTTCACCGCCATTGTTGTTGACTTGTGAAGCAACCAGACATGGGTTTTTATTCATCCACATCCCAACCAACTGAATCACACGGCGTTGACCTTACACCCACTCTGGATTTTTTCGTTAATGGGTGTTCTTTTTATAGTTAGCGTTCGAAACCCGAGAACAAAAGATATATATCTTAACTTAGTTGAGTTATGTTTAAATTTGACACACGTCCCTAGTCCATGATTCATAAATAAATGTAATATTGAATTATTTATTGCATACATAGCTTTGTTAAAGGCTAAATCCAAATATAAAAATAGTAGAATGTAAAAACAGAGATAAAAGTAATACACACACACATATTTGGTGAATCTCGTCACTAATGATTGACATTAGATTGGCATGGTAATATACTTTAAACTTAAAGATGGGTATTTTATTGATATTGAATATACTTAATGACTTCTTTAAAGCGATTTTAACCAACTATATTTTGATTAAAAAAACTTTGGTAAAAAATGTTATATGACAAACCATTTTTATGATTGATGCTATATTCTTTAAAGTATCTTTTCGAAATGCTTCATCAACTACTTGAGCCAAAAATACTATAAATGATTTATCTGAGCTGTTTGTTTGGTGTGCTTTTGAGTTTTTTCATAAGCACTTTATCTAAAACCAGAGTGAAAAGTGATTCTGGGCATGGCACAAGCACTCTATTGGCTGTCAAAAAACCTGCTCTGTTTTGCTTTGATTGAGATGAATGACTCGGCACTTGTCTCTGCTCTCTAGTATGAACAAAGAAAGAAGAAAGCCTTCAGGTTGTGAGTAATCTTCTTCTTGCGTAATTTACTTCTCAATACTACTTGTACATTATAGTGCAAAACAAAGGGGGCCATTTCCAAAGTGAACAAGGTGAAATTCAATCACAGGTTGTGGAAGTAAACAAGTTCAACATGGGATCAAGCAACCCTGACAACAGAACCAAGCAACCGCAAACCCGAGCAGAGCACCGGCAAGGACTTGCGATGGCGTGTGGCCCAGCAGCTCTTTCAGCTTCCTTTTGCTGATGGGATGTCCTTGAAACAAGTCCTCAACGATAAGATTAAGAACCTGCATTCACCCATTCGCCAAATATTTCAGTACAAATAACCTTATTTACAAAGACACGAGTTACATCAGATGCAGCACAAAAGATGCCTTTGTTTACAAATGATAAGCCTCAAAGAAGATGCAACATATGCATTAAGCCAGTCCAGTAACGGCACATACCAACAGTCGAATCGTTTTAATCACCGGGAGTTCCTAGATCGATTTCATGAAATAACCATCTAAATATTTGACTTTGAAAGACTGACATCTAAATGTATAGTATGCCTCCTTGACTACAGAACCAAGAGTCTAGGACTTTGCTTCCTCAATAATCAAAATCCAACTGAGCCCAAAAAAAGTCGTGGAAAGACTACAATGGATACCAAGCATAAAACCAGCGGCTCAACAGCAAACAGAACTCCAAGCAGGAACCATAGATGAGCCAGAGAAAGACATACTGAAGCCCATAAAATGCAAAAGTTCCCCCATGGATATTCCAATAGGCATCTCCATGGATTGGCAGCAAACGCAGACTTTTCCACAAACAGATGGAGGGTCCATCCCTAATCTAGCTAGAACACAAATACTCAGACCAAACACTGGCAGCAGAACAGAGTAACCCACAAATTCTAAGGTCTCAATCTGGGTGATGAAAATTTGATGAAAACCCCTCAATAAACTTAGCAACTACTACAGAAAACTGTAAACACGAAGATTTTCAGAAAGCAGATTCCATGGAAATTTTGCAGGTATGCAGGGTAGTGGAAGTTCAGTACCTCAGCTTGCATTCCGGCATGTCGACGAACACCAATTGCATCATACATGACAATAAGACTAAACCCCAAGCAGACTGGAAAAAGAGAGTCCGCAACGCCGTGGCAAAGAGCCACCGAAGTCGTCAAAGCCGTGCATAATGCAGAGTGAGACGAAGGCATCCCACCACAAGCGAACATTATTTTCAAATCCCATTTTCTTTCCACGAAAAAGTTCAACAAAACCTTCATCGACTGCGCGAAGAACCACGCGAACAATCCCGAAATAAACGTCGGATTCGTCGCCAACGTAGCAACGAACGGACTTATCCGGTGCTTCGCGGTCGCGGTTATGCTCAACAAAGCAATCCCGAAACTCCCGCTCTGTAAGTAATTTCCATTAAACCCATCATCCACGAATCTCTCCGAAGCAATTTGGACGACGCCTTTGATACTTTGCAAAACTGGAGCCAACGCCCAGAAGGGATTCGAACGAAAACTCCGATCACCGCCGTCGGATTTCTGGTTTCTAGTAGTTGGACGAGTGTTACAAGACAAATAATGGGGAAATCTTCGGAACTTGTTTGATTGAATAAACCCAAAAGAGAAGAAGTTGGTGGAGAGAGCCGTGATGGGTCGGGGGGAGGCGTTGAAGACGAAGGGACTCGATATAAGTCCTAAACTAACAGTTTCCATAAGAAGGGATTCTGATTTGTGAGTTCAATGAGCATTTCAGGAGGAGACGGAGCAGAGAATTCTGGCGAGTTCGAAGCGCTTGGATTTTTGGAACTCTGGAGTGGAGAATCGTCTAAAATTGTCTTTCGCTCTCTATATAAGTTAAAATTAAACGGTGGAAACTTGGACAGGATACTGTAGTCTAGAAAAAGATTGAATTTTTGCAAATCGGAAGAACTTTCATAATTGGAAAATTTCAAAATCGTTTTGGGAAGAAAAAAAGAACCCTAAAATTAAGTGGCGGAGAAGTAGGCTTCAGCAAAACGCCATGGATGGGTAGCAGGATCAGTGATCAATCACCAGTTTGGCAAAGGAATATGCGGCGGTAATCGATATCCTTCTCAAATTTCATTCCAATTCGCAAGTATATGCCCCTTCTAATTCCATTATCCATCTCTCTCTTTTAATACAACTAATACAACAGGGAGGTGGGGATCAAATTCACAGCCTCGTAGTTGAGGTATATGTCAATTACCATTGAGCTATACTCGGGTTTTTTTCTTTTTTCCTTTTCATGCTAAAAGATGTTATTTTGATTTTTGGTTAAAATACCATTTTCATCACTTTTAACTTTACTTTATTTTAATTTTAAAGTAATTTTAAATTTTTTATTTTGTTCTCTGTTTTCTCATTTTATTTTTTCACAATTTCAACGTGATATTGTATTCAATATATTTATTGAAATGTAACAATAACATTTCAATAACTTTATATTAAAGGGTTTATGTTGTGTATAAAACTTGTATTAAATTTTTGTCAAGAGACCAAGATACTCACTTTATAAATTTATAGGGATCAAAACAAATATTTTGAGATACATGAATTAAAATGAATAAAAGTTAAAAAGTACATTAGCCAAAATGAATCAAAACCGAAAGTAAAATAGTATTTTAAACTGATTTTTATATTGGTAAAAAATAAGACGATAATTTGTTCTCTAAACTTTGATTTTTTTCCATCCCAATCAATTTTTATATCGTATATTACAAGTTTGATTTTGTTCCATCTTAGTCAAAACCAACTATTATAACTCAACATTGTCTTATAGATAGGTAGACTCGAAAATTTAATCATCACAGCCCATAGAAGATCTAATTGGTCATAGTTACATTCATTTTCGATAGATGGTTGTAGAAGCTATCAACCCCTCTTAATGATCAACATAAAAAAAATCCTATACTATAGAAGTTTCATACTCTTTTTGTTCCTACTATGATTTTATCTTTATAAATAATTTTTTAACATTGATAAACTCCACATCATTTTTAATACGATGCTGATATGACAGATAATGTACTATAAATTTCACCGTGTTCAAACTAGCTAAGAAGATCGGATTAGTCCAAGTATCAAGGAAGCTCTTGTGAAGTAAGGAGAGTCCTAAAAGACCAAGTAAACTCACCTTTTAAGTATAACAAAAACTTTAGGGAACTCCAAAAACAACTTTAGGAAATTGGAAACTTGAGTAATATCAAATCCATGATAATTTTCTTGAGAAAAATGGGTACTATGGGCCTCATGAGTTAAAGAACTTAGCAAACTTAAACCCAAGCCCAATTTGGCCCAAACTCTTGGATGGCAAGTTGAAAAGTGTGCCAAAGATAGTGCAAGAGAAAGCACTGCATTTCAAATCCTTCAACTTCACACCAACTTTTTCTTCTCTCTCTCCCTTTTTAGTACAATCAAAACTGACCACCTTTTTGGAAATTTGGACACATTATTGGAAAGGTTTGATGATTATTGGGCTGTTTAAAGTAGCAAACACCTAATTATGGTATCTTGCAACACAAAACAAGCCAACCTCTTTGAACTTGGAATTAGCAGCACTTCATTCCCAAGTTTAAGGCCCTAAAAACCATTACAAATCTCTTTCTCCTCTGAAAATAGTTATTAAATGTCACCAAATCTTTAGTTTGAATATTGGTTTTACAAAATGGGAAGAATTGTGCAAGTTTTGTCTTTTTATTTTCGTCATCCACGTGGAGTAGTTAACTTGAACATAGTTTAGTTCTTCCTATCTTTCCTACAATACCATAAGTCCAAATGCATATATATTTGACTATAAAAAAAATTACTTATCATAAAACTAAAATTTGAAAAAATCCTACATTAACAATCAAATACAAAGTTTTGTTCAAGAATCAAATGGCTTTGGGAAAAAAGATCATGAATTCTTAGCAACTTCACAAAAGAAGAGAGAGATGAAAACTGGCAGGTGGGTTTTCGCGGGAAAATGATGATGATTTTGCCATCAATTACCAACCACTGTCCCTAGTCGCTTTCACCACCACAAACCAACTAACATTGTTCAATCAATCCATCCTTAGAACCCAAGCTACTGCAACCTCTCAACCGCTTCCCCTTTTCTTCAATCACCATTCTTCTTGTTCATTTGTTCTTCATTCATCTTCTGCTAGACCATTTGCTTCCATCATTAATTACCCAGCTCAATCCCACCTTCAAACTCTTCTCCTAATGGCAAAAGGGGGCTTTCTGATATCTGTAGCCAAATGTGTAGCTGTGTTCTGTTTTCTCCTCCATGTTCTGGACCTGCAGACACTGTCCATGGCGGATGACGATGACGATTACGTCGAGGTAGACAACAGCAGCAACGGCGGTTACAGTGGTGGTGTATCTGAGCAATGTGATACTGATCTCAGGAGTTTTCTTCCACCACCGTATGGTAATCTAACCAACATCGTCTGCAAGCCCATCTGGAATACATTTGTATTACGGGTAAGTTTCATTTCATCTGAGATATTTTTCAATGCTTTGGAAAAAGAGAAAAGGAAACTTGAAGATTTTGTGTTGGGTTCTGCAGTATACACAGAATGAAGAGCATGTAATGAACATCATTGTATCAGCTTTATACACAACGGGGTGGGTGGGGATTGGGTTTTCTAGAGATGGGATGATGGTGGGATCAAGTGCAATGGTGGGATGGGTAAACAAGAAAGGGCATGCTAGAATCTACCAATACTACTTGCAGGGAAGAAAGCAATCAGAAGTAATAGAAGACAAAGGAGAATTGCCACTCACCAATGTTCCTGCATCAGTTGTGCTTCATGGTGCCACCATTTACATCGCATTTCAGCTCAAATTCAGCGCCATGGTTTCTCAGCAACCAATTCTCCTGGCTTTTGGGAATGCTTATCCCAGACATAATCACTTGTCTGCTCATAGCGATAAGATAGCGATTGTTTTTGACTTCGCTGCAGGTTTCTTTTGCTACCTCGTTTCTACCCACATCAACTTTGTCTGTAACTCTCTTTAACACCATTGAGAATTTCTTGAAGTTTTTGGCATACACTTGTATTTCTCTTTGACACAGGTTCCAAGTCTTCAGCAGCAGCAGCAGGCAGTGACATTGGGCAGATAAAGAAGAACCATGGTGTATTGGGGATAATTGGATGGGGTCTCATCCTTCCAGTTGGGGCAATCATTCCCAGATACTTCAGACATAAGGATCCTCTTTGGTACTATCTTCATTCAATAATTCAGTTCGTGGGCTTTGCCATTGGACTTGCTACTATTTTACTTGGAAGACAACTTTACAACAAAATTAAGGCCAACGTACCTACTCATAGAGGCATTGGCATCTTTGTCCTTGTGCTCAGCATTCTTCAGGTCTGTCTCAATCTTTGGTTTTCAAATCCCTGCATATTTCTCTAAATTGGCTGGACCCAACAAGGCCCAAACCCTGCTACTTAGGTTAGAACAGTAAAATACTATTTATAAGTGCACCAGTTACCTATGTTCTGAAAAAAATAAACATGAGACTATCAGTCAACAACTTTTCAGAAAAACTTACACGTAAATATATCTTTTTCTGGCAAAGAAATGAGGATTTGAGTAACTGATTTGATGGGTTGGGGAAATTCAGGTATTGGCATTCTTTCTGAGACCCAACAAGGAAGCTAAAATCAGAAAGTACTGGAACTGGTACCACCATTGGTTCGGAAGGATTGCACTGTTTTTTGGAGCATTGAACATAGTGTTGGGAATTCAAATTGGAGGTGCAGGAAATGAATGGAAAGTAGGCTATGGATTTCTTCTTAGCATAATACTCATTGCAGTGATTGTTCTGGAAGCACTGGCATGGATGAAAAGATCAGATAAAGCTTCCATGAGTTCATTTCAGATGAATCCAGTACCATAATTAAGCATTGTTTGGATATCTCATTTTTAGGTCTGTTCTGTTTCTTACTTCAGTCTTCTGTTTTTAAAATAAGAGTTCATTTCACTCATTCAGAACTGGTGAGACTTATGTTTCATAACCATTTCTTGTAAAAAGAAATGCTATTTCTTGTTTAAAACTAACTTCATAGTGGTGCTAAAATCTCCATTTTCAGAATTAGGAAACAGAAGATGGTGGAAGCATTTGGTCTTCATGAGGGCTGGCTTTGGGTCGTATGTCAAGTTCTTCTAAATTAAGCAGAAGCCTTTCAACGACGAAGCTATCTCGATGTGGGCGAGGATACATTACTTCGTGTTTGGTTAATAGGAATGGATGGTGTTTGTTTTCCCACATACAAGTTTTTGGAGGGCTGAATCGTTTGCAGGAGGAAGAAGCCTTGTATTGTTAACTCTGTTTCAGACGATATTCAAATAATGCAGTTTTGTGAAGTATGCAAACAGATTTCTGTATGATTGTCTGTCAATCATCAATGTTCCATATATTTTTGGAGGCAAAATTTTACCATTATCTTCTCACATCTTCTACTGTTTATGAAAGTAAGTTAAGAATTCAATGCACTGTGCAAATTTTTATTACAATTTACAAATTCGAGCTTATAATGGATGTACATTTATCCCCAAAATGGAAAAGTATGAAGCTCTTGTGCATCACAGTAATGCACAATGAAAAGTATATGACTGTCGATTATTCATTTAGTCATAAAACAATACAGATGAAAGAGCCCAGAAAATAAACCATCATACTTGATAGTCAAATTTTTTTCCTGTGGGGATGGGAAATGTACCAGCTTATGCAAAATTTTGGCTTTAATCACCCTTCTCTTTTGATGGAGAGCATATTATTTCCAAACAATTTCCGAGTTTTGACATAAATCCTTCTTTCGCTGGTGAATCAGTTTCCTTCTTATGATGGATGGTATGAACAAATGCCTCCATTTCATCTTTTGCTCTCTCAAAAATATTTGGCCCTTTCACTTCATTGAATATCATTTTCTGAGTCTGGTTGTAATTCCAATTTGGTGGTTTATCATTTGAACTAATTTCTGCATCATGTTCCGCAAAAAGAACCTCGTTAGAAGCATAAGAGCTGCAATTTTGTTTTACTGTAGGATAAAACATATAAGTAATGAGTAATCCAAAGTAAAAAAATTAGGCCATTAGCAATTTAAATTATATAATGACGGAAGGCAACAACAAATTGAACAAACTATATGGAGCTTCCATATATGTGTATCAGTGGCCATTTTATATGGAAAACCAATCAAAAGCAAATTTCAGGAGGTTGAAAAGTGAACCAGAGTACTAAGGTCATAAATGATGATAGAACAGAAATGAAAAGCATCCGTGGAGAACTCATTGAAGAAAACTGTGGCAGAAGTTGCCACAGATGCCAAATTTGATATCCTCAGAAGGAGGGGGGAAAACAGTGTTACCTGAGAGAAGCACTGTTTTTTTCTGCATTAATTCAGCATTGGCTGCTTCATCCCTTCAAAATAATTGCACGAAATGAAACAGGTTAGAGATGAAACTTTAATGCGTTAAAATTTATCTCATTGCTACTCAATCCAAACTAATTAAAAATAAGTAAATTGAGACCTTTTATCAAACGCCTGAGATTCTTTCTTAGAATGAAAAGTCTGAATAAAAGCCTCATATTCTTCCATTGCCCGCTCGAATACATTTGGAGCTTTGACTTCATTTAATGGGGTATCCTCTCCTATATCATCACGCTGGCCATGTGTTTCTTTCTGATGATGTGAATTTTTAATGTGCAACATCTTCTCAATCTCGTCCTTTGCTCTTTCAAGCACTTTTGCTGCATTCACTGTATTATCTGATCCACACACACAAGAAGAAGATAAACTCCATACTTGTTTTGACATATCAAGCTTTACTTCCCTCCAAGAGACCAGGTTTATACATCAATCTCCCATCTTTTACCCCATGAAAAAACTTGAAGAAGATATGCTAATTTACAAGGAGACGAGAAAGATATGATAATATGCAGTTTCAAACTCTAATATGAAAAGATACAAGGAAACCACCTGATTGAGACTCTGTTTTTTCTTCCTTGGACTCTGCTGCGACAGTTTCATCCCTGCAATCACAAAACAATTCACAAACAACATAACCCTTTATACATGCATGCATATATATATTATATATAAGGGTATAACTCTTTTGTTTATTTATTAAACTGAATTCTTAACACGGATAAGTAGACAATCTTCAAAATCAAACCAAACTTGGTCCAGAAACCAATGGATAAATTATCCAGAATCCAGAGAGAAAACACACACACAAACTCAGCCACTTAAAATCCAAAATCAAGTAACGAAAGAACGCAAAACATTAGCACTAAACCTTCATATCTAATTAGGAAACGTATAATGCATCCACAAAACCAACCCCCATAAAAATGGTCTCTCATCTAGCCTTAACACAAAACTTTAAAGAATGCCACCTTTTAACCATTGAAAGATATCAATTGATGAAATTAAAACGTTGAAGTTTAGTTGCACGTGGGGTAAAATATGAGCGAGATATTAAATATATATATATATACCAACTGCAGGTTCATAGTTGCATAATTAGTGCATAAAAACCTTCTTTCACTAATAGGCGCCTCTTTCTTCCTGTGGATCGTTTCAACAAGCGCCTCGATCTCCTCTTTTACTCTCTCAAACACGTTTGGCGCTCTGACTTGATCCATCGAGGTGTTCTCATCAATGTCATTACGCATTCCATGAGTCTCCTTATAATGACGAGGCGATCTATCAGTCTGTAATATTTCTGTCGAAAACGAATTGGGTGGTATTAATTCTCAATCAGCTAGCACAAGACTATTGATTCCATATGACTCGTATGGAAAAACAGATGATCACGTCAAAAAGAAAAAGAAGAGTCCTGAGAAAGTGTGAACTCAATGCAAACTCATCCCGTCAATGACAATATCAAACATAAATACAAACTTCAGATTACATACATACAAAAACGCGCAGATGGAATTGGAGGTACTGAGGAACAAGATTAAACAAGCAATTTGAGACGAGAGGAGGGTACCGGGTGAAAGAGGGCGTGGCGATGGGTCCGATCTGGATTCGGCCATATCACTCTGAATTTGAAAACGGAATAGAATTCAAAGCATTTAGAAGATGAAGCGTGAAGAACAAAGGATTAGAACAGAGGAGGTGCAGATTCCGGACGCCGGCGGCGGAAATGGCAGATTGGACAGAGCATCCGTTGGGCCCTGCCCAGTTTATTCTCTCGCGCGTATAATAATTAATGAAGACCATTTTTATACCAGAACCAAACCCATTATTCTTTTTTTTCTCCTATTTTTTTTAATATTTATCAAACTAAATATATCAATTTGTCAGTGTCAATTTTTTAAAAATTCTTAATTTATTTCCTAATGTTTTAAAACCTTTAATTTTACACTTAATATATTAAAATAATTCCTTCGTATATAAAAATTTCTAAATTACATCGGTCTGACAGATGATTAATAAAAAATTGATGTGTCATTGAATTATTGTACCAACTTAAACATAACTCAGACATATATATTTTGGACCAAAATATCATGGGTAAAGTAAAGCAAGAAATATCAAGTGGACGCCCAAAAATTCAGAAGGTCACGACCAAAGAAGAAGAACCAACCCAAGAACTAAGGATCAAGACCCGTTGGTGGATCGACTGGTCGGCTTGGCTTGCCCTTGTAGCTGACCACCTGCTAGTTGACCCGTTTGGTTCGGTTGGACTACGAAACCATATTCAGTTGGTTGTCTCAACCATCTAGGTCACTTGATTAGTCGCCCTCTGATTAGTCATAGATAAGTAACGAGCCAATTAATCTAAAGTTGGTATGAATTCAATAAAGGCCTGCTAGAGAGGAAGATCCCGATATCTATAGAATTTGACTTGTCCTTATATAAGCAATTCGAAAGGAGATAATATCCTAATGACTATAGATTTCCTATCGATTATAGGTTTTCTTCTACTTATAGATAAACAAAGAAATCTCATAATCAAGTAGGTCGAGAAACCATGCTTTTAAGTTAAACTTCATACAAAATTCGATTTCAAAACTAAAATTATTTCTTTTAATACAACATGGGGCGGTGAAGACGTTGGAAATAGATGTGGTAAAGATCTTGGGCAAAAAAATCCAAAATTAGACTGAGGAGGAAGATCAAAATCACACGACCATAAATGGGTAAATTGCGCCATTGTCATTGCAATTTGCAACCGTGGGTGGGAAAGTGTAAAAGCCTCTCTCTCTGATTCACGCGCTCGCGGCGCAAAGCAATCCCACACTCTGGAGATACTAGATACTCCTTTTACTCTCAAGTTGCAGAACAAAACAGCCACAATTACATCCACCCTTCTTCTTCTCCTCCTTCAACCGACCCGGCTGCCTTTCCCCCCATGCTGTTTAGCTCGTCGCCCAATTGGGGGGTGAGAAATTTTTGTCTTTTGAACTAGAAATCTGCGTTGTTCGTCTCTAAATGGCCGATGTTTTTACATTTTCGTCGCATTCCGTCCGTTTCTCCTCTGCTTCTTTACCCACCTCCTTTGCCTCCTCCTACAGTTCTACTCAGCCTTGTCTTCCACCCATCCCAAACTCGGATAAGAGGTTGATTCCTCTGCCATGTTATTCCACTGGCTCTGTAATGCCTCTTTCTTTCAGACCCAGAAACAAGTTCGTGTCTTTCAAGGTACAGAACTTTTATTTTTTGGTTGGATTTCTATGTCTGCTTGTTAATTGTCTAGATTTTTGTTGAATATCTAGTGAAATTAGTGACAATTATTTATTGATAATGTGTTCGATGGAAATTAATAGTTTTTCTGATGAACTTAGTTGTATAAGGATATCCACCACCAACAATTTGCGCTTTTTCGCATGCCCGATGATACTAGGAAGAACCTGTTTGTTGGGTTTGTTTGAATTTTATTTTCAATTTGGAGTTCCATATGCCGAATTGAAATTTGGGCAGATGATATACAACCCTAATGGTGAGACCCAGAGACCAAGTGCGGATATTTCTTATGAATTTACTGATAAAGGAAGTTTTGGCGGCCGACAGTATTGCCATTGCCATGGAGGCAGCTACTTGTACGGACTAGTTGATCGAACAGTTAAATTTTTCTTGGTAGTTGGTGTTTGTATTTTTATCAGTTATCTGACAATTTATCCCCATATGGATTTTCCTCATTTTTTTTAAAATTGGATATATTTTCCCTTCCCAACGTACCATCCTGGGAATTCTTGGAGGACCTTGGGTTTCGAAGGTCGTTTAATGAGAGAGATTATGAGTGAGCTTCACTTGACATCATGGAAGGCTTTCATATATCTCATGGTCTGGATTCAAATGTCTGGAAGTTGGAAAGTTCTAGCATCTTCACATTCAAATATCTTCGTAGTTACCTTATTGCATGCCTGCAAGCTCCCAGGGGAAATGAGCAGCTCGCAAAATTTTCATTCAGTTTGTAGCAGTGAAAGAGATGCAAATCTCTTTTGGCCTCTAGATGGAGGTCCTTCGGCTGAAAATTTTTGTGACTGCTTCCATATTATTAGTTAATGCCAATGGGACAACATTTTGTAATTTCACCCTAGCATTCTGAGGGCAGGATGCTGTACTATTTTCCCTTCTTTTCCTTTATTCACAATCATCTGTTTAAGGAAGTGCCTCTTAGTCAAACAAAAAAAAAAGTGAATCACTTTCTTAGTGGCTCCTGTTAATTATTCTATGGTGCTACAGGTACAGGCTGCTGTGGCCGAAAAAGACCAGCCAAAATGGTGGGAAAAGAATGCACCAAACATGATTGATATACATTCAACACAGGAATTTTTGACTGCATTAAGTGAAGCTGGTGATAGATTAGTTATTGTAGAATTTTATGGAACCTGGTGTGCTTCTTGCAGGGCATTATTTCCCCGGGTAACTTTCTTCATAATGCTTTATATTTCCGAAGTTGATCTTTTAATTCAGTTTCTGAAGTTGGCCTGTTAAGTTCATCCTGATATAGGAATTAATTCCATCTTTTTTGCATTTACTATTAAATAATCAGAACATGCTTTCAGCATTTTCTGGAACTGGATGTAGTACCATTTTATTGAACAAGTTGGCATGAAATGAACTTGTGCCCCTCTTTGTCTTGATTCAATTTGGATACATACAATGACTGCTGCATTTGTTTAGTTATTAAGATGAAAAGCTTTAAAGTGCCACGCTATTAGATATATAAAATTTTCCTGTCTATGTTTTATGAGGTTGAAACTGTAGACAGAGAATTTGGCAATCAAGAAAATTTCTGAATATTTGATATCCCAAGTAGCTGGTCTCAAGATGCTTAAAATATGCAACCTGGTGACCCCCTCGTTTGAATCTGAAGTTGAAGAATAACTGTATTTCTTGTCAAGAAAACTGCTCATATGAAGCAAGTGAATAAAAGATTTGATATACGAATTCATGCATGCTGATTGCTGATTGGTCTTTTCATGAGGAAGAGAAAACTGTGAATTTAAAATATATCCAAGATAAGCATACTCTTTTTTCTTATTATTTTCCTTACGTTGAAGTTATGATGAGAAAGCTCCAGAACAGTGTACACTTCTTAATTTCATACTCGTTTCTTGTGAATGTTGCTGACATCAAATGCATCTTACAGTTAAATCTGACTTGGTAGACTATCAGAATTTTTAGTTGGTTTTCTGTTTGATATTCTGATGTATGTGCATATATATGTTCGAATGGAACTGTCAGCTATGCAGAACAGCTGATGAACACCCTGAGATTGTATTCCTAAAAGTCAATTTTGATGAAAACAAGCCAATGTGCAAAAGTTTGAATGTCAAGGTCCTTCCTTATTTCCACTTTTATCGTGGCGCTGACGGTCAATTGGAGTCCTTCTCATGCTCACTCGCGAAGGTTAGCACCTTCAAACAATTCATCCTATTTTATTGGTTTAGCTTATAATGGAGCAGAATGTGTGCTCAAATTTAAGTAAATTTTCAAGTTGTGGATGTGAATGTGCAAGGCTTGTTGTGGATCTGTGAATCTAATATGGACTGTAAATGCGTTTCCGATCTCCATCTTTGAAAAGCTATAGTCAGTTGTTGATCTTATGGCAGGCAGTGATATTTTTCTTTGTATTTTTATCAAATGATGATCAATATAAGAAGCTCTATATTTTCTAAATTTTAACTCAGAATCTCAAATCTTCTCCTTCTGCAGTTTCAGAAAATTAAAGATGCAATTGTAATGCACAACACAGCTCGTTGCAGCATCGGCCCGCCAAGGGGAGTAGGAGATCTTATACTGGAGCCGGCCTCCTTGGCTCCCAAAGACAAACAACAAACAGAAGCTTCCTCATCATAGACTTGCTGCCAAATCCGTGTCGGTATCATTGTGCATTCCCCTGATATTAATATAAACTTCTTGTTTAGAAAAGAAAACATTCTGGAGTCAGCTATCCAATCTGTAAATTTGCATTCTTGTTCTGTAAAAGAATTCAGATTATGAGAATACCAATCATAAAATATTTTGCTGCCTTTATCTGCCTTCCTGGGCTGGCTTTGATGTTTGTACCTTAGAACTGGTGAGACTGGATAAAGTTTTAAATACAAGCCATTGATTCTTTTGGTTTGATTGGAAGCAGCTTGCATATACTTAAATTTAGCCTATGATTTCTAAGATCTCTTCTATACTTAAATTATAAGTTTATTCACCAAATTTTAATAGTTGTCAATTTAATCTTCAAACTTCAAAATGTTTAAATTCATCTCTAAACTTTTAATAAGTTTTTGTTGTTTACACTTTTATTTAGTGATGATCTCAAGAATTCTAATAAGTTTTCGTTGTTTAAACTTTTATTTATGATGATAATTTGACATGAGAGAGCAACAAGAAACAAAAGCTTAAGTCATATGGATAAAATAAAGGCAAGTATAGAAAATATTCGTTAGGATGAGTAAATAGAATATCTTTTAAACTAATTTTTTTTCAAATTCCATTCACCCAACTTGTATCTTTATTTAAAAATAAATAAACGATTTGCAGATGAGTTTTTAATTCCATGTATACACATTGATCTCTATGAATTTTCAATTGGACATATGCTTCAAGTTGGATTTATTCTTTAATTAAGCAAATCCAAATTAAGGGTTGGGATTTTGTTTTTTATTTTTGAGTTCAACAATTAAGGGTTGAGATTGACCTAGATAAGTTGAAATCTTTCCAATATTGTTACAAATAACTATAGTTTAAGTGTATATAATATAGTTTCTCCACAACTTAAATAAGCACAAAATATAGGAAAACAAATATTGAAAGCTAATTACCTTTGCAAAATATATATATATATATATATGTTGAAAGCTAATTCTCAATTTGAAGTTCTTAATTAAAAATGGGTATGGTCATCTTCAATCCTGAGGCTTTCCCTTGTCAGCATCAAAATTATTAGCTCTATTACTTGTGGAATTCACTGCTAAAGAAAGCCATTCTACAAGTACAAGTTTGGATACAACCTCCAAAACTTCTGACTTTAGAATAGTTTGATCAAGTCAAAACACAAACATAAACTAATCCTCTTATAATTTATTCAACCCCAATGATCAACAATAAAAGATCAGATTTATAAACTGTACAAAAGTTTTCTTCAAGCCAAGCTAATGGGTTTCTCACACATCTTTCTCTTCCTCTCCATCCTCCCTAGTTTATCCACAGCTGAGAGTTGCTCGACTTCCAAGTGTATAAACGACAAATTCTCCATCCGGTTCCCCTTCCGAATTCCAGAACAGCAACCTGCAAGATGCGGCTATCCCGGTTTCAACTTAGCCTGCAACAAAGCAGGTATCACGACTCTGAATCTATATTCTTCAGGACAATTTTATGTAAGGGATATCGATTATGCCACTCAACAGATACAGCTCTATGATCCAGAGGCTTGTCTTCCTAGAAAGCTTCTTGAAGGCTTCAAAATCTCAGATTCTCCGTTCATGCCCCTTTTTAGTCAGAATTTTACCTTTCTAAGCTGCCCGTCTCAGTTTGCAATATCGCGTTTTCCGGTCCTTGGTTGCCTAAGCAATTCCACCAACTCGGTTGTGGCTACTTCTTCCATGAGTTTTGTCAAGTCAATGTCAACCGCTTGCAAGATCATTGCTACTTTACCTGTCCCTGTATCACGCCCAGATGAGGCTGAAGGATTTTCATCAAACCTCAATGGCGATCTCGTGTTAACCTGGTACAGCCCTGCTTGTGGTATCTGTGAGTCAGAAGGCCGGCTTTGTGGGTACAAAAATAGTAATGGCCAGGGGATTACCTGTTACAATTACACAACAGGTATAAATTCTGCCTTTTGTCACTATTTGCAAAGTTTATCTTTAAACTATATCTCACATAAAGCTCGAAACTTCATCCTCGCATGCAAAATCAAACTTTTGAGATCAGTAAGAACAAATTCCTTTATCGTCACTTGTATATATCATAGTTGGTTGAGAAAAAGCTCAAAGCAAATACCTGATGAAAGATGCAAATAAGAACAAAACATTCTTTTCTTCAAATCAGAATTAACTTTAACCCTATTCCAAATAATACAGGTATTACCGAACGAATAAAACTACAGGCTGCTGTTGAATCTTAGACTGGCTCTTGGTTGACGAACACATACTCACATAAAAAATGTTTATATTACTGGACAGTTGGGATTAAACTAAGATTTGAATAATAATTAAAAAGGTTTCTGACTTCATATATGGTTAAGGAATGAAAACGACATTTGTTTCTGCCACACGTCTCTTCTTTATCAACTGCATACGAGACCAAATACGTTTTGCCAAATGCATTTGGATTTCATTGTCATACATGATGTAGTTTGCAAAAATATCAAACTTTACGATGCCAAATTAAATGACAATCACCTTAAATTTCAGAGGAAAATAATGCTCTCAGAGTATTTCGGATCATCTGTGTGGTGATTGTTCTACCGACTTTAATGTGTGTCTTTGGACTTGGCTGCTTTATCTGCTTCGCAAAGTGGGGCTATGGTCTTGCCGACGGTAGAGGAAACCAAGTTCAGCATCGGCAGCAGGTCAATCCGGCGGGGGCTGATTTAGAGGCAGAGCCACCAACCCGTTTGAGTGGTCTGGACGAATCCACCATTGAATCATATGAAAAGGTAATCCTTGGAGAAAGCCGGCGGCTGCCTGGCCCCAATGGCATCACCTGTCCCATATGCCTCGGAGAGTACCTATCCAAAGACACAGTTCGATGCATTCCTGAGTGCAAACATTGCTTTCATGTCGATTGTATTGATCAATGGCTTCGAGTCAACAGCAGTTGCCCTCTTTGTCGAAACTCTCCCTCTCCCTCCCCTTCCCATTTAACTCCATTCGTATGATCTTCTCAATTCTTCTCCTGCACGTAAAGAGAATACAACAAATGCAAAGTCAGTGTTCAGAGATTCAATTAATTAGCCAACTTCGAAGTTCACTTACTTCACTCAACTATGGAAAACTAAAAACCGCCCCACACCTCATCTGTGTGGAAGTAACTATAAAAATCCACAAAAACGGCATGGCAGCAGTTATCTAGGACGCATTGCACGAGAAAAATGGATATAAAAACACACCCATTACTCAATCACAAATCCCCATCTCAAAACAAAAACACCCACCAAGTGTTTGTAAAATTTCCCAAGTGAAAAATGGCAGGAACCCACAATCGGCGCACGATGATCAGTGCCCTAGCCTTCGTCGCCATCTTCACAAGCCCCATGATGATCGCCCTGTCCCAAACTGACGACGAGGCAGCTTGCGAACCGGTGATGCAGGAGCTGACGCCATGTCTCAGCTTCATCAAAGGCAGTGACAGCGAGTTCGGTGGTCCGAAACCGTCGCCGGAGTGCTGTAACGGCGTAAAAAAGTTGATCAGCGACACCAAAACGAAGGCGGACAAGGTAGCTACGTGCGAGTGTCTGAAGAAGGCTTTGGGGATGATCGGAACTTATGATCCGAGTCGCATCCCTTTGATTACGAAGAATTGCGGAATCGCCATCCAAATCCCTCCCATTGATAATTCCACCGACTGCTCGAAGTAATCAAAATTACATCTTTTGGCTTTCTTCTTCTTCTTTGCTCTGAGTTTAATTTCCACGACAATTTTTTGTGAAGATAAGATAAGCAAGCTTTTGGAGCTAAAATATTTTGTTTGTAAAAAAATTAACTTAGTTTATTAATTATTTCAAAAATACTTTGAAAATATTTAACCAATTTTCCAAAAGAAAAAAAAAGTACTAATTTAGTTGCTGAAATTTCTTCCTTGGTCTATTTGTCTCTATAACATGTGATTTTAATTTTAATTTTAATTTTTTATTTTTGAGAAAAACATGTGACCCAAAAAAGGAGGGAAAAAAACTACTTTTCAATTTGTTTAGTTCACTAACAATTAAATATTAAATGTTTTATCTTTCCGACATATTGACTCTTTTTGTTTTTGTTTTCTTTTATAAAAGCATGTGACTCTAAAAGGAGGACAAAATATATATTTTCTTAATTTGTTACTATTTCTAAGCTATTACTTCTCAACTTTAAAAACAAAACAACATCTTTTATTTTTTGAATGAATTTGAAAACTAGCCCAAAATTTAGAATTTGTGTAAAAAATACTTTGATATAAAGAAAAAAAGAAATGCATAATGGAATTATTGGGTGCTAATTTTGTTTGTTTGTGTTGTTGGCAATGGCATTGCAGGATTGAGGGACTCCAATTTGGAAGTGCTGTGTTATATGAGCTTGGGAATTAAGCAGATCCCATATGATATTTCTGAGTTTCTTAATGTTTCAGAATAAGATTGACAAAGTCATGTATTAGTCTCTCAATAATCATAATTTTAAAGGCCAGTAATACTCTTCTATCTACTATCAACAATAACTTATACTTTTACTAATCCACCCCTTTAATCAGTTTATGTTTTGAATGTGCTTTTGCCTTCTTTTGATTGTATATCTCGCTTGCCAATTCGGAGACAAGAACGAAGAAATATATCGAAAAGTTCAAATATAATGAATAAAACCATCCGTTAAATTATAGATTTAAATAAGTTTCTAAACTTTCAACTTTTGGTTTGTTAAGTACTAACTTATTTGACATTTTTTAAAATCCATGAACCTATTTGATTATTTGTCTAATAGGTTTATGAGCTTTTAAAATCTTTAAAATTCTATTAAACACTTTTAGAGTTTAGAACTAAACTTGTAATTCGACCTTAAAATGGGTTTAATATCGAAAACTTTGTTTAAGAAGTCTTCATCTGGAAGAGAATGGAATCTGTGGTTACTGAAATTCACAGAGGATAGAATCTATTAGCATGATCTATAACTGGGAAGTCAGATCAGAATTTGATGGTGGTGCTTCATTGTGTTCCTATTCTGTGGCATGTCCAACATCAGAGCAAGATAATTACCAAGAAGAAACTAAGCAAGAGAAAAATGGAAGTTGAAACCAAGCAGGAAGAGTTTTCTGTTGATTATCTTACATTATTCACATATACATATTATCAGTTTATCACAGACGCAAACCTTGCACCTGAGACTCAGGACATAAACATGACACAGCTTGAAACAGCACATTTCAAAGATCCAAGATGGTGAAATCTCGCTTGTCTTGCTCGAGCGGCTTCGGAGGCGGTGGGAGCGTCATCACTCTTGAGAGTTGGGACGTCTGCTGGTGTTGATCTCGCTGCACAACTTGCAGTAGATGGGATATGAATATGGATGCATATAGAGTGGCGCCAAAGCTCGCCGAGGCGCCAGCGGTTTTAGCCAATGCATCTTGAAACCTGCCATCTCCACCCCCTCTCCGCTTTCTTTCACAGTAATCATGCCAAGCTTCTTGTATTTTATAGGCAGCCCAAACTTTCCATTGATGAGAGTAGAACCTAGAGACCAAGGATTACAAATCAGTTACTTAGTTTATCAGTGGTTGAACTAACGTTATGGTAGAGAAATCTGTGTATGAGTTCAGTAGAAAGAGCATGCCTCACTGAGAGTTGGAACTGCTGGCTATTGAAGCGCTGGAAGTGGAACTGACTAACCACAGATTGCAGCTCTTTAGCCTTCAGAGCAAAGGCTTCAACCTCAGTTAGAGTTTTGACTGTTCTGGTTTAAATGGGAAGAGAAGTGGACTGCGGATCCATTGCCCACGGAACTAGCTCTTCACCGCAGAAGTCGCCAGCCTTGAGAACGTCCGAGTGAGAGTCGTTTTTCCAACCATAAGTAATAATTGTAGCCAGATTTCCTTTCATGATGAACAACATCATATCAATGGGGTCACCCTCTTGCAGAATGTTGCTGTTCTCTGTGAACAACACTGGCTTGAGATATTCGCACATTGCATCCAGCAATTGCTTATCCATGCTGCTAAAAAGTGGCACCTAAGGCGTTCCGAGATAAGGAAAATTTACAATTTCATTGGAGAAATATGAAAAATGTAGAAGGAAAGAACTCACTTTCTTAAGCAGAGCCAAGCAAAGATGGCGATTGATGTCTCTCCTAAGGTCTTTAGGAAGGTTACTGATGAGTTCCTCTTCCCTAACTCCCCTGTTTAGCTGCCATTTGTACTGATCGTATCGTCTAATACGCTGCCTCAAGTCCTCGGGGAGCATACGATGCGCCATCCAATGCTCGGCGTCTCTTCTGCTAATTCTCATCTGCTCTACTTTAACAGTTGTTGATTGCAGATATTTCTGTCAAGGGGAACAATCCACAATTGAAAGTTGAAGCAGAATAAGGGATGGAATCAGATATACAAAGCCCAACTCTACAAGTGCAATTTGGCAAAGATTTGATAAGAAACTTGAATCCTTAGTAACTAAATAGTATAATCCAGAAACCATCAATTCAAAAAGTCACATCATCAGATGGCTGGAGCATAATAAGTTTTCCTCTTGAACTTTGAGAAGTTACTACAAACAGACGAATGAGTGTCATGTATTACCTGAATATTGCTAATGAGTAACGCAAACAAGAGCAGACCAAGGATGGCAATGAAGACAGCAAAAAGAACCTCCCCCAAGTAATTGCTTATTTGAAGGTTCTGTCCACAAGAGCTGCAAAAAGACAGGCAAGTTCTTTTAGGGTGTATGTTGTTCCAAAGCAATGAACTTAAAAAACTGTAATAAATCTGCTACATGGATGATAGAGATAGGAAGTTATAACAATAGATTCACATATCTCATATCTCATTCCACACTAGAGTAGTGAACAAACACAGGGGCAACTTGTACAGACCCGACATTTCGCAGAGCCCACCAGAAGCAATAAAAGAATTTGTCGCGAAAATTCGTCGTCTGATCGGTTAAATGAAACTTAAGGGCTTCTAGATACATTCCAAAGTTGAAGGTCTTGTCATCTTCAGATTTTTTATGAGAGCAATACTGCTTTATAATGTATGCCGCTCTGCTGGGATCTCCACAGCACAGATCCTTGCTATTACAGTTACGTGTTCTGCATGCCTCAAGCCAGCATCTTTCTTCTTGTTCTACTGAAAACAAATACCAAATGGCACCAACTACCTAATTCATCACATTCACTGGCTCATATGAGAACTCCCTTTTAAACAAAATGTAAAAAACTGCTGATTTTTGTATTGCTAGAAAATCAAATGAACACAACATACATGACTAGCTAGCATATAAATAAGAAGATTGAAGGCAGCTCCACTCCAGGCCCTTTCTGTCAGTATGCCAGAAGTTCTGGTTACTTCTCTGTATAGCAGATAAATTCGGAGAAGCCTTGGAATGTACTGCAAAAGAACCGCAACCTTCACGAAGTCCTTTGTCCTCAATGCAATCGGGCCTTTCGCTGCAGGTATGATAACTAATACCAAAAGCTGAATGACATGAAAAGTAAATAGTAAGTTCACTTCTGTGAGGCAGTCAATTCTACTTAAAACAAAGGATTCACAAGAATCAACTCAAATGATTCCGACAATAATCCACTCTCAAACAGCGTACAGAACAGAACAAACACAAAATGATAATACAATATCGAGAAAGAGAAGATTGTGGACTGAGTTTTAAAGAGCTTATCATCCAATATTTAGCATTCCAAATGAGGAGAATAGCCAAATGTTATGCTCTTGACGCAAAGACCAGATGCTGCTAGGATCTTAAAACTATACTAAAATTATACCTGAGGCAGAGGGATAATGGATAAGATATCAATTATGAAGTTTGAGGACAGGTATCTCTTTGCTATAGCTGCTGGATCTTCAACTAGTTCGCCACTTCCAAATACTGGCAAAGAAGGAGGTAGAAAGCCCGTTCGGAATTCAAAGATAATGTGAAGTAGATAGAATATGTCGATGAATGAACGAAGAATGCAAGCAATGATCATAAGGAGCCGGTCCATGGTTAGGCATTGGTGTTGCCTATCAATCACTGGGATGTAAAAAAAGAGAGGGTCCACAGCTACAGCTAGGACACAGGAGAGCACAAATATCTTGTTCCATTGCTGAAGAAATGGCTTCTGTGGATCAAGAATTTTCTTCGAAAGTTCCAGTTTCTTCCTCGGCTGATCATATTCATGCTTGAAGCATAAAACTGCTTCCATCCTTCTAAAGCCCTCAGAAGCACTAGAAAATCTTCTCTGTATGCTTTCCAGTATTGACGCTGGAGACAACGTGCTCCTGTTTTGGTAACCTCCATATTTGACATGGATATCAGAAGTTGGATATCCAAACCTATATATTATCATTAAATTAGCATGTTGGGACAACAAGAACCAGACTTCCTACCATTCTTCAGAAACCAAATATGAATCCCCAATACAAACTTTGTGGAAATAGAAGCCATATGGTGCATTCACAGAACATAAGTTGGTTTTCAAAAAAATTGACAGCAAGAGAGAGAGAGAGTTAGGAATTTTCAAACCTGAAAAATTTTGGTTTCAGGGAACCCATAAATTTAGACATCAGCATCCAAAATGTAGCACTTTATGTACTGCTTAGCCAAAAACAAAACCTTACATTCATTGCAACTAAAATTAAAAATATGGACACTTCCAAGACAAGAAGTGGCACTTGAGCTTATGAAGAAAAAAGCTTTCTTTGGGTCAGTAAGAGAAATGGAAGACCGAATGCCTTGAATTAGCTAGTAAAGTAGGGTAAAGGGAGCTCCAAGAAAAATTGTTTCGTCTTTATTTCAGCTTTAACAAAGTTGCTTTCTAAAGGTAGAGTGGGCATTCAAGATGTAATCGTTTTTACATACATATCTAATTTTTTAGCAAAAGGAATTGTGTAGAATCCTGCTCTGGTTTGTGAAATAACTATCCCACAAAGAACATGTTGGGTTTGTAAAGTATGCAAACAAAGTCCTGCATTGGTTAGGGAACAAAGTGATCCATAGTATATAGAACAATTATCTCGATTGGTATGAGGTCAATTGGATGAAACCAAAAGCAAAGTCGTGAGGGTTATGCCTAAAGCGGACAATATCATACCATCGTGGAGATACTTGGGATTACGAAGGTACGTTGTCCTTAACAAAACATAAACTGTACACTGTAAAATTTGTTAAGTGAAACCCCAGATGATGCATGTTACAAAGAATCCAATTTTGGCCATCCACGAGGAGAGAAGAAAAAATCTTGGAGCATTGCCATTTTACTCTAGAGAAAACTTTGCAAAGTTTGATGTGCTTATCCCATTGCTACTTGAATTTTGCCTTTTCCGTTAAGTGGGAAGTCTTTTCTTTCAAGCAGTTGTCATGGTTTTCCTCATAGCTTTATTAAAAACAAGGTGGCCCTTCTCATGGAAGTGATAACAACAAGGATAAAGATATAAATCTAAACATAGCTTAATAGTTAAAGATATTCGTAACTTCGAACACTCAAACCATAAGAAAAAGAGTCTCTAAATTGTCACATTTTGCTTTATAAAAATCCAATTTCTATTTTACTCCAATTCTTGTTTTAGAAACCACAATGACAGATCACTAAACGACCATATACTTTATAACATTTTTCTTGTTATCATAGTAAACTCCTCTTTTGTCTGTGGCTTTTTCCATGAGAACTTTTCACGTAAAATCTATGTATTATTTATAATATTTATACTCATCTTTGTCATTGCATTTGCCATATCGGTTTTCAGTAACACTTATTCACAAATCCATAACTTTTAAAAGAACAACTTTGTTTCATATCTAAAAATGCATATTGGAATTTGCATTGGGTGCTAATATTTTTTGCTGTTTGTTTGTGTTGTTGGCATGCACTATGCAGGGCTGAATAGATTGACAGTGTCATGTATTAGTCTCAATAATCCTAATTTTAAAGGCCAGTAATACTCTTTTATCTATTATCAACAGTAACTTATACTTTTACAAATCCCCCTTTTATCAGTTTGTAGTTTGAATGTGCTTTTTGATTCTATAAGGTTTTGAATGCTTCATCCCTTTTTCCCGTTTTGCTTGATTATATATCTCGTTTGCCAATTCGGAGACAAGAACAATGAAAATAATCAAAAATTTCAAATAAATTGAATAAATCCATCGGTTAAATTATAAGTTCAATTCATAAACTTTAAGGACGGTGTCTAATAAGTTCCTAAACTTTCAACTTTTAGTTTATCAAGTCTTAACTTATTTGACATTTTTTTTAAATTCATGAACCCATTAGACATATCATCGAAAGTCCATATCATATTGAATTGCGTCTAATAGATTCATGAATTTTTAAAATTTCGAATAAGTTAAGGGACCTATTATGACACAAAATTGAAAATTTAGAAATCTATCAGGCACTTTTAGAGTTCCGAGATCTGTTGAACACAAAGTTCAAAGTTTAAGAACTTATTACACAATTTTTAAAGTTCATTGACCTATTGGATACAACTTTAAAGTTTAAGGACTAAACTTGTAATTTAACCTAAAAATGAATATAATATTGAAAACTTCGTTTAAGAAGTCTTAATCTTGAAGAGAATGGAATCTGGGGTTACTAAAATTCACAGAGTATAGAATTTATTAGATCCAGTGGATCAAAATTTGACGGTGGTGCTAAAGCTTTTGGATTCGATAGTGATTTAACCCCTATAATGTATCAAAGCAGGAGGTTCTATGTTCAAACTTCTATAATGTCACTTTTCATTTTCATTGATTACCACTTGTTGTCTTATGCAAATTTCTAAGACTACAAGTGAAAAGGGTTAAATTTACCGGAATCCATGTGAGCTCAAACTTTTGGTTTTAGGTTGAGTGATTCAACAATTATGTTCTATTTTGTGGCATGTCCAACATCAGAGCAAGACAATTACAAAGAAGAAAGTAAGCAAGAGAAAAATGAAAGTTGAAAGTTGAAACCAAGCAGGAAGAGTTTTCTGTTGATTATCTTACATTATTCACATAGATATATTATCTCACACACACAAAAGATACTCAGGACACAGAACATGACACAGCTCGAAACAGCACATTTCAAAGATCCAAGATGGTGAAGTCTCGCTCGATTGGCTTTGGAGGCGGCGGTAGCGTCATCACTCTCGAGAGTTGGGACGTCTGCTGGTGTTGATCTCGCTGCACAACTTGCAGTAGATGGGATATGAATATGGATGCATATAGAGTGGCACCAAAGCTCGCCGAGGCGCCAACCGTTTTAGCCAATGCACCTTGAAACCTGCTATCGCCACCCCCTCTCCGCTTTCTTTCACAGTAATCATGCCAAGCTTCTTGTATTTTATAGGCAGCCCAAACTTTCCATTGATGAGAGTAGAACCTAGAGACCAAGGATTACAAATCAGTTACTTAGTTTATCAGTGGTTGAACTAACGTTATGGTAGAGAAATCTGTAGATAAGTTCAGTAGAAAGAGCATGCCTCACTGAGAGTTGGAACTGCTGGCTATTGAAGCGCTGGAAGCGGAACAGACTAACCACAGATTGCAGCTCTTTAGCCTTTAGAGCAAAAGCTTCAACCTCAGTTAGAGTTTTGACAGTTCTGGTTGAAATGGGAAGAGAAGTGGACTGCGGATCCATTGCCCATGGAACTAGCTCTTCACCGCAGAAGTCGCCAGCCTTAAGAACGTCCGAGTGAGAGTCGTTTTTCCAACCATAAGTAATAATTGTAGCCAGATTTCCTTTCATGATGAACAACATCATATCAACCGGGTCACCCTCTTGCAGAATGTCGCTCTTCTCTGTGAACAGCACTGGCTTGAGATATTCGCACATGGCATCCAACAGTTGCTTATCCATGCTGCTAAAAAGTGGCACCTAAGGCATTCCGAGTCAATGAAAACTTACAATGTCATGGGAGGAATATGAAAAAAGTATAAGGAAAAGAGCTCACTTTCTTAAGCAGAGCCAAGCAGAGATGGCGTTTGATGTCTCTCCTAAGGTCTTTAGGAAGGTTACTGATGAGTTCCTCTTCATTAACTCCCCTGTTTAGCTGCCATTTGTACTGATCGTATCGTCTAATACGCTGCCTCAAGTCCTCCGGGAGCATACGATGCACCATCCAATGCTCGGCGTCTCTTCTGTTAATTCTCATCTGCTCTACTTTAACAGTTGTTGATTGCAGATATTTCTGTCAAGGGGAACAATCCACAATTGAAAGTTGAAGCAGATACATAAGGGATGGAATCAGATATACAAAATCCAACACTACAAGTGCAATTTGGCAAAGATTTGATAACGAACTTGAATCTTTAGTAACTAAACAATCTAATCCAGAAACCATCAATTCAAAAAGTCACATCATTGGATGTTGGGGGCATAATAAATTTTCCTCTTGAACTAAGAGAAGTTGCTACAAATAGAATGAATGAGTGTCGCGTACGTATTACCTGAATATTGCTAATGAGTAACGCAAACAAAACCAAACCAAGGATGGCAATGAAGACAGCAAAAAAAAGCTCTCCCAAGTAATTGCTTATTTGAAGGTTCTGTCCACTTGAGCTGTAAAAAACAAACAAGTTCTTTCAGAGTGCATGTTGTTTCAAAGCAATGAACTTTAAAAGTGTGATAAATATTCTACATGGATGATAGAGACAGGAACTTATAACAATAGATTCACATATCTCATATCTCATTCTACACTAGAATAGTGAACAAACATGGGAAACTTTTACAGACCCGACATTTCGCAGAGCCCACCAGAAGCAATAAAAGAATTTGCTGTGAAAATTTGTCGTCTGATCGGTTAAACGGAACTTAAGGGCTTCAAGATATATCCCAAAGTTGAAGGTCTTGTCATCTTCAGACTCTTTATGAGGGCAATACTCCTTTATAAACCCGTATGCCGGTCTGCTGTGATCTCCACAGTACAGATACTTGCTATTACAGTTATTTTTCCTGCACGCCTCATGCCAGCATCTTGATTCTTGTTCTACTGAAAATAAATACCAAATGGCACCAACTACCTAATTCATCACATTCACTGGCTCATGTGAGAACTCCCTTTTAAACCAAAATGTAAAAAACTACTGATTTTTGTATTGCTAGAAAATCAAATGAACACAACATACATGACTAGCTAGCATATAAATAAGGAGATTGAAGGCAGCTCCACTCCAGGCTGTTTCTGTCAGTATGCCAGAAGTTCTGGTTACTTCTCTGTATAGCGGATAGATTCGGAAAAGCCTTGGAAGGTACTGCAAAAGAACCGCAACCTTCATGAAGTTCTTTGTCTTCAATGGAATCGGGCCTTTCGCTGCCGGTATGATAACTAATGCCAAAAGCTGAATGACATAAAGGCAAATGGTAAGTTCACTTCTGTGAGGCAATCAACACTACTTAAAACAAAGGATTCACAATAGTTGACTCAATGATTCCGAAAATAATCCACTCTCAAACGGCATATAGAACAAAACAAGCACAAAATGTTAATACAATATCAAGAAAGAAAAGATGTGGAATGAGTTTTAAAGAGCTCATCATCCAATATTCAGCATTCAAAATGAAGAGTATAGTCAAATGTTATGCCCTTGATGCAAAGATCAGTGCTGCTAGGATCGTAAAAATTATACTAAACTTATACCTGAGGCAGAGGGATAATGGATAAGATATCGATTATGAAGTTTGAGGACAGGTATCTTTTTGCTATAGCTGCTGGATCTTCAACTAGTTCGCCACTTCCAAATACTGGCAAAGAAGGAGGTAAAAAGCCCGTTCGGAATTCAAAGATAATGTGAAGTAGATAGAATATGTCGATGAATGAACGAAGAACGCAAGCAATGATCATAAGGAGCCGGTCCATGGTTAGGCATTGGTGTTGCCTATCCATCACTGGGATGTAAAAAAAGAGAGGGTCCACAGCTACTGCTAGGACACAGGAGAGCACAAATATCTTGTTCCATTGCTGAAGAAATGGCTTCTGTGGATCAAGAATTTTCTTCCAAAATTCTGGTTTTTTCCTTGACTGATCATCTTCATGCTTGAAGCCTAAATTTGCTACCATCCTTCTAAAGCCTTCAGAAGCACTAGAAATTTTTCTCTGTATGCTCTCCAATATTGACGCTGGAGACAGCCTGCTCCTGTTTTGGTAACCTCCATATCTTACATGGATATCAGAAGTTGGATATCCAAACCTATATATTATCATTCAAATCAGCATGCTGGGACAACAAGAACCAGACTTCCTACCATTCTTCAGAAACCAAATATGAACCCCCAATACAAACTTTGTGGAAATAAAATCCATATGGTGCATTCACAGAACATAAGTTGGTTTTCAAAAAATTTGACAGCAAGAGAGAGAGAGAGTTAAGAATTTTCAAACCTGAGAGATTTTGGTTTCAGGGAACCCATAAATTTGGACATCAGTATCTAAAATGTGGGGCTAAACTCCGGCTCTGATAGCACTCTATGTGCTGCTTAGCTTCAGAAACAAAACCTCACATTCATTTTAACTAAAATATAGTCGCTTTCAAGACAAGAAGTGGCACTTGAGCTTATGAATACAAAAGCTTTCTTTGGGTTGTTGAAAGGGGAACCAGAAAGACTGAACAGGGGGTCAACGAGAGAAAGGGGAGGCCGATTGCCTTGAATTAGCTAGTAAAGTAGAGTAGAGGGAGCTCCAAGGAAAAACGTTTAAGACTTTATTTGAGCTTTAAAAAAGTTGCTCTCTACAGGTAGAGTGGGCCTTCAAAATGTAAACGTCTTTACATAAATATCTAATTTGTCAGCAAAAGAAATTGTGTAGAATCCTGCTCTGGTTTTGCTAGTGTTGTATGTGAAATGACAGTAAATTTTGTTAAGTGAAACCCCAGATGATGAATGAATGTTACAAAGAACCCAATTTTGGCCATCTTCAAAGAGAAAAGGAAAATGCTTTGGAGCATTGCCATTCTACTCGAAAAAAATCTTTGCAAAGTTTGATGTGCTTATCCCATTGCTCCTTGATTTTTGCTTTTTCTGTTAAGTGGGAAGTCTATACTTTAATGCAGTTCCCATGATTTTTCTCATAACTTTATCAGAAAAAAAGAGCTGCCCTCCTCTTTAAAGTGATAACAGGACAAAGATGTGAACTTAGAAATAGTTTAAATGATTAAGATATCAGTAACTTCAAACACTAGAACCATAATAATAATATTATATTCTAAAAAGTATTACAAAATGATTTCTTGAGGCCAAAGTTGTCACCTTTTTTATTTTGGAATGAAAAGGAAGTCTTCTCTAGTCATACCAGAGTCTTTTTATATGATTTTTGCATAAAGGGTCTACAAATTGTCACATTTTGTTCCATAAAAAACAAATTTCTATTGGACTCCAATTCTTCTTTTAGAAAACACAATGACATATCACAAAATGTTCATCGGCCTTTATTTGGTGAAAGTATCTCTCATATATTTAGTATTTGTTATGGACATGTGTTTCTCGAATTCTTAGCACAAATTCGAAAACTTGCAGTGTGACCTTTAAAAGTGAAACAAAATAGAAAAATCCAAGGTTCGTATTGATAGTAAAGGGACTAGCTCGACAGCAAAGTAAAATGCTTATTTTGCTTGAGGTGATCTTATTCATGGTATTAAATATCCACCAATATTTACATGTATCGATATCTATGGGTTCGATGTCAATATGAAAGATAAATAGATATTTCCATCGTATTAAAAAAATCGACAAAATGTAAAATATCGTAGGGATAATATTAATATTAATTATTTTTAACTTATTTAGAAGTAAAAAAAATATTTTTTTGTTCAATTTTAAATATTTTCTATAATTTTTAATTTCTCTAACTTTTAAGAAATGTTCATCGACATCTTATCGATATTTTCAAATCGAGACATTATATCTCCATAAAATTTAGATTTTGATATTTCCATCCCTTTATAACTTCAATCGTACTGCACTTATACGGCTTCATACCATTTTTTTGTCGTAATAAACTCCTCTTTTATCTATGGTGTTTTTCCATAAAAACGTTTCACGTAAAATGAGTATTAGTTATAATATGTATAGTTATATTTGTCATTGCATTTACTATTATAAGTTTTCAATAACACTCGCTCACAAATTCGTAACTCTAAGAAGAACAACAACACCGCTTCTTATCTAAAAGATAAGAAAGCACATGAAAAGAAAACAAGAAAAAACTTTTAAATTAAAAAATTTTGTTTGGTAAAAGATTAAATATATGGTAACTCATTAGCTCAATGGTTTAACATTGTATCATAGTAGGAGATTCTGTGTTTATGCTCCACCACTTATCACTATCGGTAGAGCTTTACGCGAATTTCAAACAAGTGAAAAATTAAATCTACTGTAACTGAGATGATGGATGATTTAACATGTTCTAGCAAACCAAAGCTATTTTTATAACAGTCAAATAATGCCAAGTGGTCATAAAAAATCAATATGTAAAAAGATCAAGATCCCCATATATACTCTACACCCCACAAGAAACAAAGGAAGAAAGAGAAAGATAAAGGTGTTCTCTTTCTCACCACACACACACAATATAATATTTGATAGTGATAAAAAGGGTTGTTACAATTGCAACCTTTACAATTTGATAAGGTGAATGATTCTTCAAAATGACAGCAATGCAGCAAGTGCAAGCAGAGCCATCTTAGGCACTCTTTCAACTTTGGTGCTGGAGAAAAACCCATTTCAAAAGCTACTTTTGGAATGGGTAATTTCATTTTTGTGTTTAAATAAACTCCACCCTATCAGAAGAATTTTAAGTGCAGAAGAAAAGGAAATGGCCCACTTTTCTCAATTATTTGTTCCTGTCCTGATTCACCTGATCCAGAAACCATAACATTTATGAGCAGTGGCCTAATGAGTTTATGACTTTTTTTCTTAAAGAGCTGGTTGGTGGTTAGTATAAAAACTGTTCTTTAAAACAATGTTTTAAGTAACTGGTTTGCTTTAGTTTGTTCTCACGGATAGTCTATTTTTAAGAGCATTTGAAGTCGTTTTTCTACTTTACAAGTCAACTCGAACCGGTATAAAACAGCTAACATATTTAGAATAAACCCATTAACGGATTTAACTTCATCTTATTAACTTAAATAACTGTTCAGCATAATGATATATTGTATCAAGAAGTGTAGACAGCAGGCAACTTGATGGATGCTTCCATCAATCAAAGCCATTGAACAAAGCTAGAAGAATAAAACATCTAAAAGTACCATAATTATGGGATGGAGGTATAGACCTTTAAATCCAGACGAGACAAAGGATTAAGAACTGAACACAGCAGCTTCAACTTCCAAGCAACCGGAGATCTCTGAAATGAGCAGCACAAGAGTGCCCCTACATGACTTACTTCCCTATCTACATTCCTACAAAGCAAGCTATGTGACTACAAATTTAAATGATTCAAATCTGTCGATGACAAAATTACTGGATGCCTACTTATTGATAGACAATGAACTCTTGATTTCTGAACAAATCTTATCCTATCCTACTTGTTCAAGTTGCTAAAAAAAAACCTTTGTCACCTTTGTCTAGGATTTCTCTTCGTCCGGCGGCCCAGGGACTGAATCAACAAAGAACTCCTCCACTGAGACAAAATTAAGATGTTAGTGAGTGGCCAAATGATAAGTTATATATCTATGTGCATCCAACTTTGCATGGACGACCAGGAACTTCTGAGTTTCAAGAGTCATACTAGAAGGAACAAAGGATTAACGAACAAATGTAGGGTGCACTTACCTATGCGATCAACATTCACCAAATTGCTTGTCATGATGACATCTTATAAAACAAAATAAATATATACTCGCCATATGTTTGCTTTGGAAAAAGGTGGTTTTGGTTACATTAAACAATTTAGAGCTGAAAAGAGTCTTCGCAATTCCCATACCTATTTCTGAGTCGGAGGGCAAAAAAGGAGAGCCAGGGTAGTTTCCTAAGGGTCCTAAATCTGCACCAATTTGAAGAGATTACATCAATATGCTTAAAGATATTCCAAGTGAAGAGTGAAAACTACCAACAAAAAACAATTTGGCATTCTTACTCAAAACTTATCAATCCATGCTTTGAATTCCTTCCAATTGAACTCTTCCTAACAGCTATCGAGGTTTATAAAACAACACAAGACTATTCCATTCAGAAGAATTAAAAAGATGGTAGCATGAGAACATGAAGAACGAGGTCTATTCTGTGCATATTATTACTATCCGGCTACCATCACTGCATAGCGAGAATATTCGTGGGTATATTAGTTCTTCTAATATATCCTAAGAACACATCCCTTTCGAGAAGCCAGATACCAGCATACTGCCACTTGGTTTTATAGGAAGGTCTTGAAGATGAAAAACATAGGCAGCAACCGGTGCTATATTCATATCAGGGACGAATGAACTCAAACTGCTTCACTCTATTGTGATCGTTGACATATTCATTGCATTCACTCGTTCACACAGTATGATTGTTTACTCTGACTTGGGCAAAGGATACCTGTCAAACAAGTCCGGCATCCTCTAGCTTTCAACTCTTTTGTGTTTATGGACTACACAGACCACATTCTTTCTATCTGTTGCCCTCGTCCAGAAGATTATTTGGTTTTAAAAGGCTTATTTCTCAGCATTCTTTTATGACTCGGCTGGCCATCAAGTGGGCAGGAACTACTGCCGACTCCTCTTTTTCAATAATATATAACTTAATGGTGTAATGTCTGGGTCACCCTTTCTTATGCAGCTCACTCTCCCCTGATTGAATTATTTGTGACTTGGTTTATTTAGTTTAGCTCGTGTACGGACATTCATTTTTCAACATTTAGATTTTTCACTTATTTTTATAGCCTTGAGAAGAAATATTCCAAAAAAATTACTGTGACCTGCAGAGATGATATTGTGCAGCTCAAAAGTTCTACAGACATCATACATGAATCAAATAAAAGCATCTACTAATCACTAAAAGCCTAGAAATTACCTCCCAAGTTCGATAAATCTGTTGTAAGATCTGACAGGCTAAAATTCCACTGAAACTGATCCAATGATCTGAGAGAATCCCTAGAATTTCCAGCTCCACCATCCTGTGAAAGTTGCAGACCAACTGAACTTACCATTTCAGATGTAAATGCAGTATCAAGTGCGGAAGTATCTACTCCAATTCCGGATATTTCTGGAGCAGTGAATGAGAAATGACCACTGGATGCCACCGAAGCAGGACTCATAGACATCTCTGACATGGAGGACATAGTACTGTTCGGTGGAATAACAGGAACCACATCAGCCTCACTGTTCATCAGCATACTTCAAAGGACAAGTATTAGATGCAATAGAATAACTACCAGTTTAAGTGAAATAAGCGAGACTGAAATTGGGAAGGCAAAAAAAATATATCCAAACACATTGCAGAAGACAACTTTTTCTGCAACGAATTGAATAAAAATCAAAAGATTGTTCAAAAGCATCTTTAAGCATCCAACATTTCTCAAAATATAACGAAAATTATAAACTTAAAGAGGGAAAAAAAAAGAACTTTTAAGATAGTGTTCCCTACATGAGGGGTATTTTCTGTGTTCCCTACATGCCTTAGATTTTTATATATTTTTTGGTTACTTGCTCTTACAATTTATGAAGCCAATGAATGTAATACTGGTTTGTACAGTCTTCCCTATATATCCTTTGGGCTGATCAACCATATATATTCGTAAAACCTCTCTTATAGTTCCCACATTACTCCTAGAGGCTATGTCTTAACTCTTAACCACTTGTCATTAGTCCCATGCATATTACTATATTAGTATAGTTTCGTATCACTGGTTGCAGTTCCTCATGCTTTATTAAAAGGTACACCAAAACTCCAGCAAAAGTTTTTCCAATGCAAAATCTACCTTAAACAAGCAAGGATGATTTTTCTTGAGGTGGATTTTGCTAAGTAGTAATTATAAGATACATGATTCCCATACTAGTACTTGAGCATAACAATCAGTCTGAAAGAGGTAAGAGTTACTATTTACCAATTTAGAGATTTGCAAGTGCATAGGAGACGTTGCATTGGTTTTGACAAGGTTGCATCAAAGGAAACAATAAAATGTTTTAGAATGCATGTTAGTAATGACTTCACTAGAGAAGTTTGTAAAAACTAGGAGCCGGGTGTTTGCAGATGATATCATTTAATTGGAAAAATGTGAAAAGGCGCAAGCTGACATGGAAAAGGGGAACAAGAATCAATTTCCAATTCTGAAATATTGCCAAATGATAAAAATGCCAAAGAAAGAAAAAACTGTTAAGAAAATTTTCTTACTCGTTCCCAGAGTTCATCCTAATAGGATGGAAGTTACTAGGTGCAGGGACTCCATTAACCACATGGCAGCTTGGCATCCCAGAGGCCATGGTATCCAGATGGGGTTGACCTGGCATTGACATTGGAGGTTGCTGAAGGACTGGATATCCCATTGGTAAGTTGTTAACTGCACTGCAAACAAGTAGTGATGAATAACAACAAAATACTAGTATCTTGCAACATAAATCAGTCTCACTTTTTCTGATAAAAAAAAAAAAAAAAATCAGTCTTACTTCGATATAGAAACGTGTTCACGGTAATAGATTTATACTGTATACAAAGAACCTACCATTTTCTGTTTTTTGATAAGTAACTAGAAAGTATGAATGATTTACAACTAGGCTCAAATTTTTTAGA